CTGATGCTGGCCCTGCTTAGCAAACCCCCAACAAAAGTGAAAGAGAAGAAACAGAGGAGGGGACAGGGGGGAAAAAAAACAGAGGAGGGGGCAGAGGGAAAAACTAAATTGCCAGGACTAGGCTAAAAAACCACTATGGTATATTCTACCTGGTAATTCTAGTATTAAAACAACACCATTTTCAAACTTTAAAACACAGAAAAATAGCTTAGTTTCATACCAGGAACACAGTCTGACAAATAATCACTGTAGTCTGCATGAGTAAAATAAGAAGTCACAAACTAAAGTACAATGAAGAGACAAATTTGGCCCTTAAGTATATATGTACAATTTCCAGCAAAAGTCAGAAAATATACATATATGCTGAGGGCAGCATTTCACCAAAGATCACCTAAACTATTTTTTCATTTATTTAACATGACTATGTAAATGATATTGAAGATACAGAACAGACTAAATTTGAGTCTCAAAAATCATAAGACAGTGCTCCATTCCCTCTCTTTCCAGCTATAGCAAAGGACATGTTTGTAAAATACCAAAGGCTCGCTAAATCCAGACACTGGACATTCACAAGAGAAGAGATTTTTCATTTCTCTTGATAGAGATGTAAAAATTTAGGAAATAAGAGTATTCCATAAATCTGGATTCATTTCAGAGAAGTTTTATGGCCTGTGTTACATAGCAGTTTGGTTCAGTGATCATATGTTTCTCCTGGCTTTAGAATATATTCATAAATAAAATATAAATACTCATTCTAAGCTGTGGAGCTCATCCTACAAGATGTAGAAAAAGCATTTAACCCACATAAATACATGTCCATAACCACCCACTACTTAGCTAACAGATCCCAAACACACACTTGGTGTCATAGAATCAAAGTAGTGCTGGAAGGGGCCTTGATAAATCATCCTTGTGGCAACAGGACCAAGTAAGCCGCCTCCATGCCTGACAAATATTTGTTTAACTTGTTTTAAAACCCTCCAATTATGAGAATTTCACAACCTCCATTGGAAGCTTACTCCCTTATGATTACAAAAAACTTTATAATACCTTGCCTAAATCTCTCTTGCTGCAGATTTAGGGCATTAAAATTCTTGTCCTGTCTTCAGTGGACACGGAGAACAATAGATCAAATCTTTTTATTATAGATTTAATATACTTGAAGAATGTTATCAGGTTCCTGCTCAATCTTTTTCCCTAAAGACTTAACATTCTCAGTTTTTCCTAAAACCTTCTCTCACAGATCAGGTTTTCTAAATCCTTTTTCATTTTTGGAAAATCGCAAGGAAAGTAATAATTTGTCTACATTCCTCCTAAAATGTAGGACTCAGAACTGGACACAATACTACTGAGGAGGACTCACCACGGCTGAGCAGAGTGGGGCAATTACCTTCATGCTTTATAGACAACACTTCTAATACACCCAAAAATATTATCCCCTTTTGCAGCTGTTTCAAATTCAATTTGTGGTCATCTATAACTCCCAGATCCTTTGCAGCAGCATTACCACATAGACAATTATGCACCATTTTGTAGGTATGCATTTGATTTTTAATCTTAAGTGAAGTACTTCACACTTATCTTTATTTGATCTTGCTGAACTCAGACCAATTTTTCAAGGCCATTTTGAATTCTAATCTTGTTCTCCCAAATGCTAACATACCTCCTCAGCTTGGTTTTCTCCACATACTTTATAAGCATACACTCCACTCCAAGTCATCAAAGATACTGACTAGTACTGGTGCCATGACTGACCCTGCAAGACCCCACTAGATGCACCATCTCACTTTGACAGGGAATTGATAACTAATCTGAGTACGGTCTTTCAAACAACTGTGAATCTACCTTACAGTAATTTCAGCTAGATCACATTTCTCTATTTTGCTTATGAGAATAGATGTGGGACTGTCAAAAATCTTACAAAAATAAAAGACATTGCATCCTATTGCTTCCCCTCCCATCTATCAGGCAATAATCCTATCAAAGACAGAAATTAGGTTGTTTTGGCATTATTTGTTCTTGATAAATCCACTGTGTCTGTTTTTGATAGTCCTATTATCTTACAAGCAATTACAAATTGATTAATACTTTGTTTCAGAATCTTTCCACGTACCAAAATTAGGCTGACTGATCTAGAATTCCCTAGGTCCTTTAAAGAGGCAAATACTATGCCTATTTCTCCACTGTTCTGGGACCTTATCCTCCCAGGGCTCTCAAAGATTATCACTAATGTTTCCAATGCTTCAACTAATTCCTCAAGTACCCTATGATCAATTAAAAAAAAAAGTCCTGATGACGAATACATCTAAGTTATCTAAATATTATTTGATGGTTAAAGTTTAACTGGTTCATTTCTGGTTTGTCTTGTATAACGTCCTGCTGTTGATGCTAGCTGTGTTGAGTATCTGGGTACCATTAACCCTTTTAGTGAAGGCTGAAGCAAAACAGAGATTAATTACCTCATTTGGCATTTTTCACAGCTTCATAGAAGGAATTATGAGCAAGTCTCACCTCTTGCATACCACAGGCTACAAGATTTCACTCAATGTTTAACTGAACTGGAACCATCAATAACATGTAATTGAACTGAAGCTATCTTTTTAAAGATTCCAAGTGATGGAGAATTCACCATGTCCTTGGTAATTTATTATAATTATTAACTGGCCTTACCATTAATAACCTTCATTCTTACTTTTAGCTTAAGTTTTCCATCTTTCTGCCACTTGATCTTAAGCCTGTGTAGCAGACAAAAGCATTTCACAAGAGTGTTATTCACCACAATGTCCTGGTGAATTCCAAATTGGGAAGGGACTGAGCTGAGGGTTGGAGGAGTTTTGTAGCTATTTCTGTATGGGTAGTATGTATATTTGAATGTGTGGTGTGAAGTGATGGGGCGTCTGCCCCACACAGAGTTAAGAGAGCCCTACAGAGGTTGTGCAGGAAGGAGTCAATCATGGAGGGGCTTGCCCATATAAAAAAGACTGCAGAGCAGAGCAGCTTCAGTCTCTCCTGGAGGAGGATGACTGGCTGCCTTGCAGATGGAGCCAGCAAGCACTCTGGATACAGCAGTGCTGCAGGAAGATACACCAGGATCAGGCATATGCAAGCTGTGCTCTGAAGCAAGGAAAAAGAAGGTGCTAGGAGACAGGAGTGAGCAAAAGCCACTCAGCAAGCTCAATCTGGCCTGCCTAGGGCTTTGATCTGACCAACATGGCTGTTCCAGGCCCCACCCCCTGCCTAGCATGTTGCCTGGGAACCGGAGCTGCGTGAGCCCTTTCAAACTGCTTCTATTCAAAGGGCTCACACTTACTCCGTGCCTGTCAGGCAACACGTTGCTTGTCAGGTGCCTGGGAGGCGCAAGCCCTTTAAATAGAAGCAGTTGAAAGGGCTTGCGAGTCTCCAGCTCCCAGGCAATGCACTAGCGGTGTCAGAGCTGCGAGCCCTATTAACTGTTTCTATTTAAAGCACTCGCCTGAGCCTTTTAAGTAGAAGCCATTAAGAAGGTTTGCAGCTCCTGCCCCGCTTCTAGTGCATTCCCTGGGAGCCACGTGTGAGCCTTTTAACTGCTTCTATTTAAAGGGCTCGTGCCTCCTGGGTGGCTGCACTGCCTGGCAGCCATCTGGCAGGTGCAAGCTCTTTAAAAAGAAGCAAATGAAAGGGCTCTCAGCCCCTGCCCCACAATAGCCCATTGCCCCGGAGCAAGGCACATGCAAGCCCTTTCAACCGCTTCTATTTAAAGGGCTTGCTCCTTTCCCGGGGCTAGAAGGTAACAGCCCCAGGGAAGGCGCAAGCCCTTTAAATAGAAGCAGCTGAAAGGGATCGCATGTCCCCGGCTCCCAGGCAACACGCTGGGAGCAGTGAGCCCTTTAAATAGCAGGAATTGAAAGGGCTTGCAGCTCCCACACCCCACTAACATGATGCCTGGGAGCTGTAGGGGAAGTGTAAATCCTTTCAACTCCTGCTATTTAAAGGCTCTGCCCCTTCTGGGGCAGCCTGCAACCACTTGAAAAATTTTGAGTGGCCCCCCCAGTCAAAAATTATTGCCCATCCCTGTGCTAGGGTCACAGGAAAGGGGCCAAGGGACATTTACAGAGGAAACAGCAAGTGATGGATACAGAGGAACTAGGACACAGAGTCCCTGAGCCAGGACCTAGAATAGTGGGTAGGCCTGGTTCCCCACCACCTCCACTGAAGAAGTGGCTGGACTGATGGACTACAATACTGTCCCCCAGAGGGGGAGAGCAAAATGTGGCACAGCTGGAAGGTTGGGTCATGAAGAGAACACTACAGCCCTTGGAGCAACACAGGTCCATGAGCAAAAGTTACACCAGTGAGGCATCACCAAAAAAGTATCAGAGGGGTAGCTATGTTAGTCTGGAACCGCAAAAGCGACAAGGAGTCCTGTGGCACCTTATAGACTAACAGATGTATTGGAGCATAAGCTTTCATGGGCAAAGACCTACTTTGCATCAGATGAAGTAGGTCTTTGCCCACGAAAGCTTATGCTCCAATACATCTGTTAGTCTATAAGGTGCCACAGGACTCCTTGTTGCTTTTGCATCACCAAAAGAGGGCACATTGGTGAACAGAGCTAATACCCAGGATAGCCAGCAGGAGGTGCTGCAGGGGTGAGTCGCACCCTATCACAGACAGGCATCTATGGATATATGTATATTTGAATTAAAAGAAATCTACCTCCCTCTATTGCCTGTACATGTTCAGTTGGACTATTTATTCACTTTTTCCAGTTTTGAATAGTGTGTGATATTGCTGTGCACACTCAATCAATTGCTGTTAACTTCTAGTGGGGTAAACAAAGTACATAGTTTTAGTGATCTGACCTTTTGGCATGAAAAACACTATAGATATAAATTATTAATTAGGGAAACTATTCAAGAATGATCAAGTAGCATGAAACGTTTGGTCAGGACACTGACTCGGACAGGTGAGGACATAAAACAATCCTAAAGCCTAAACATAAGAAAAACAAGCATGCTCACCTGTAACTGCTGTTGCAAGTGTGTAATTTCTGCAATTCTCAGTTCTCTAGATTTGTTTGTGCTCTCAATTTCATGTCTTTGGATAGACAATCGACACCTTATGTCCTGAAGCTTTCCCTCAAGCTGATGCTTTTTATCATTCTTCAGCAACAAGAGATACATTTTGGTTACTACAATAATTCATTATGCAAATCTGGATTTTATATGCTTTCTAAAACTAAAAAAAAGTCTGCTGTAGAATAAAAACCAAGATGTAATTATGGAAACTAATCAAGATTCTGTAACATTTGTTACTATGATCTTGTGCTCCATTTACAATATGATCAAATACAAGTCTTGGAAATGGTTGGTCATATATAGTAAAATACTTAAACCTACATTTTAAAAAGATCTTCACTTACTAGAGCTTCCAACTCAAATTCTAAAGTCTTTTTCTTTGCCTTCAGCACAACTATGTCCTCTTGTTCTTTGTTTCTTTGATTTAGTAGTTCTTGCCGCCGATTACGTTCCCACTCAAGTTGTCTTTGCCTTTCAAGTTCCCTTTTTGCAGCCTATAATAAGTAAAAACAAAACATGACCATTGAAAGGCATAATCTGTGAATCTACCCAATTCCCTAATTATGTTGCATCCCACCATCTTTTGAGATGTATGGAGGCCATGAGAGACCCTAATCCCTCATTAGAATAGTCCTAGTATAGAGTATACAGAGATCATTAATATATGCCCTAGGTCAGCAGAGTACGTAGGTATGTGACTAGCTTTAACAAGAGTATAATCACACTGCTTATAGTTGACTGTGTGCTTAAAAGCCTTGGTCAATTGCAGCCACAATTAGCAAAGCTGCTACTTTTGAAATATACATATTTCTTCCAATTTAATAAATTAACCAACATTTAATTTGACATATCAAACTCCAGATAATCACAACACTTAATTTCTCAAACATATATGGGAGTAGCCTCTCACATAATAAGGTCAAGTGTGGCTCCACTAAGTTTAAAATAGTTGAAGTTTGGTCATTTCAAAATATAGCTGCTCTTCTTAATGTACTGACTGCAACGGAAGCATGAAGAATTTCCAACCCCTTGCAAAAGTCTTTGCTCCTTCAATGAAAGCAGTATCACTTCACATTGCAAAAGTTTTGAGGTTGGAGGTCAAGAACACTTTGTGCTAAACCTAAGTGTCTGACCCACGCAATCTTATGGGAGAAATGTCACAAAAACATTTCAGATTTAGTTAAAGATGCCTCTATCTAATTCCAGGAAACTTGAAAGTGAAGGCTGTTCCTTAATTGTAGCAGGAAAAATGTTTTAATAATTCCTTTATTAGTGGAATAAGTAAAGACTTTTATAATAGGGAAAGTACGGTGAAATATTTGCCAGTATACTTTTTTTCTATTCTGTTCAAAAGACAATTTTCTGAGATACTACTACCTTTGTAGCCATTTACCTCACGCCTTTCTATTTCTTTCCGCCTTTCTTCTTCTCTTTGACGTTCTAATTCACGTTGTTTTTCTAATTGCTTTTCTAACTCCAGTTGTCTTTTACGCTCTTGCTCCTGTCGTTCACGTTCTTTCCTTTCCTGCTCTGCCCGTTCCAGTTGTGCTAACCGTTCTTGCTCTTTGCGTTGCTGCTCCAGAAGGGCCTGCCTCCGCTTTTCAAGCTCCAGATTGCCACGTTCAAAGTTCTCACGTTTTTTATCTTCAAATGTAACTAATACAAGAAAACATAAATAGTGTAATTAAGCTTTGCTTTGTCAAAGCCAGCTCCTGCCTCCTCCTACCCCCTTGCTGCCTCTGATATAGAGGCAGCAAAAGGGGTGGTGCGTGCATGTAGTTATTACGATTAATTGATAAGCTCAGGCTTATTGGTTAATCATTTAAACATCTACATGTTGCCATCCCTAGTATAGAGCAGGTCCGGTTAAATAATTTAGCTGAATCTTTTCCTCCTTTGCCAAAAAGGCATTTGAGCAGACGTGCAATTCATAATGAAGGAAACTGAGTGTAGTTTGGATGGGTGGAAACAAGTTTTGTTTCTTTAGTTCTCTGAAAGAATGCAGTGAACATTTCCACTATAAAAATGTTCTAGAAACTCATCATACAGGATTGAGCCAGCTGGCGGCTGGCTGTTACCACTGCTTCACAACAACTGCTAAGTATAGTTGTAATCATAAGCAAATAATTCAATAATAAAGTTTTAGAAGTTTTAATATCAGAAGTCACTTAATGTTTAGAAAATGTGATCATTTCTGTTTAAGAAGTTATCACAGATTACAACTAAATAGACTTGTACATACACACTATAGTTCCAATCCTCCACACAGACCAAAATGCACTCTGTGCAAGTTGTGGGTGGAGGGAAAGGAAGGACGTGGCAGAGGTGGTCAAAAGCAGTAGTAAGCCACTATTGCAATAGTCCTAGCCTGGCCTAACAAGCCACACGCCAGTCATCAGTAAAAGATAAAGCAGTGTGAAAGCTGCTCCTATGTCTGCTGCCAATGGCCCACAGATACCATTTCAGAAACTGGGAATCAGCTGGACACAAACATCTTGCCTCACAACAGAACTTTAACAAAAAAATGTATGTTAATAAATATGAGCAGTGGATAGACCTTTTTTGTTTTTTTAACAGGGCAGAATATTCTTAAATTCACTCTCACTCACCTGAAGAGCTCTGTGTAGCTCTGAAGTTTTATTGGACCAACTTATGTTGGTCAGAGACAAAGTTATTACCTCACTCACTTTCTTTTGAATATCCAGGGACCAACACAGATATACAAAAACACTACAAACTCACTTACCTGGCAATTTCTTTTCTAATTGTTGCTGTTCTTCTTCCAACACTGGTTCTTCTGGCAACCTCTGGTCTACAGATACTGAGCTTATCACAGAGATGCCACTGCCAGAACGCACTCTTCTGACAATTAAAAATAGTTATAAACTGTGTAAGTCACTTATGACAAAAACATTTGACAATTATGGTCAAGGAAAGAGCTCAAGAAGCAAGTAGATATAGGAGCAGAGTTTAATTAAAAGCATTGTGTATAAGAAGTTATGATTTGCTATCTGTAAGATTAACTTTCAAGTTCCTGAGACAAAATACATGTAAAAGTGCCATCTCACTGCAGTTGCGCCTTGGAAAAGGCAAATGGAAAAAGTAGACAGATTAAACATTCGGAAAACATAAATTCTACTGGCCAAAAGCCAGAATTCATTACAATAGAAGTTCAGGGCAAGTTTTGAGTTCTCACACATCTTCTTGTGATGCAGGAAAAAAGGACAGGTAATAATGGGTTGCTGAATTACAAAAATAGATTTTAGTTCAAATTGCTTTAGTTCTCAGTTTGTTTTCCTAAAATTCACTTATTGACAAGAACTGTACTTTTAAAGTAACTTCTTGTGATGGTGAGTCTTCACTTTGCAGTAACCAATATTGCAAAACAAAAGGAAAGGTTCCAGTGAGAGTGTATTGCATACTGTTCGCGTAATACACAAATAATGGGATAAGTATCAACTTTTATCCAATGGCCATAAAACTGAGCAGAAAGATCAAAATAGGTTTCCCAAACAAAGCCAAGATTAAGCAGTATAGGAATGAAATCACATAACTTATAACCATTTTACCTAAATGAAGGTGGAATATATTCTGGAGGCAGTGCAGGTGGCAAAGGCTGGCCGGACATGGCCACATCAATTAAGTGCATAGCCAAAATAAACTCTTCTGCTGTAAGTTTTCCATCTTGATCAATATCTGAAAGATTCCTGTTCAATTAAAACATCCAAATAAATCAGTTTTAAAATTATTTTATAAACTCAAATGCTCTTAAGTAGCACTGGTTTCTATATTATCAATTCAAAAGTGGGTCATTTTTTCTTATTTCTATTGTTAGACAATTGACAATTTTCCCCCGTTTAAGTTTAAAATATCTTACGGCTGGGCTGAAATCAAATGTACCAACCCTCTTCTCCCAATTTATGATCTCTGCATCCACAGCTACTCTATGGTTTCTACTCCTTTAGGTCTAGAGTTGCTGGTGCACCTACTCACTACTAAGGATGTAAAAAATCATGTAATAGGCTAACTGTGTAACTACTGAAAACCTCAGCAGCTACACATGATACAAGCTTTGCAGTACAGGGAGTCCCTGCTATCAGTCACCCCAGTTTACATCCATTCAGCACTAAAGTTCCTAAAGTTGACACCTTTAGGAACTCACGCATTACAAGTCCTCCTGTTCCCTGCTCTTCTGTTGTGCAAAAAAACAAAGAACAAACAACAGCAAAAACACACACACAAGAATTTGCACAAATGGAAGTCAGCTGTAGGAAAAAATTCCCCCTTTTAAGTTGTTTCGCTAGAAGTTCAAGTTTTTTGGATCGTATGTTGGACTTACAGTGAGGACGGCCTGCATAAAGCTAAGCTTTATACTGCAAAGCCTGAAGTGAAGCCTCTCCGGGAAAGCTGCAGCAGCGAAGCCCCGTCCCTGGGAGTGGAGCAGACAGTCCTGGGCCACTTGACTCCTGGGAAGGAGGCTTAGCTACTCTGCCGCAGTAAAGCCACCTCCTTGGGAGGCTTAGTGTAACTGACACAGTCGTTTATACCCTAACATCCTTACTCCGTTCCAGAGGCAAGATTGGCAGGTGAAATCTCTTGTTTTTCCAACAAATATCCACTGCACAGTGCAATGCCGGGAGAGTCAAACTGGACTAGTTTATGGTGGTTTGACACACAGGCTGTGTCTAGACTACATGCCTCTGTCGTCAGAGGCATGTACATTAGACACATAGGCAAAGTCAAATGAAGCCGCGATTTAAATGATCGCGGCTTCATTTAAATTTACATGGCTGCCCGCTGAGTGGACAAACAGCTGGTCAGCTGTTTGTCGGCTCAGCGCGGCAGCCATGTAAATTTAAATGAAGCCACGATCATTTAAATCGCGGCTTCATTTGACTTTGCCAAAACAACAAATCTACATGGCTCTGTCGACTGAGCCATGTAGTTTAGACATACCCATAGAGGCTGCTGCCATGTTCTTTAGAATTTATGTTTTCACTTTAAAAAAAACGTTAAGATCCATCACTGACAAATGCAAAGAAAACTTAAAATGTCCACCAAATATAAACCACGGCAATTACATCTGACGATGCCCTAAACCAATTCTGACATGCGTACAATGTCTTTATTGAGATTAAAGAGTCAAATTTTCATCTTTAGACTTTAGAGTTAAGTGTTAGATTCATTAGTTATTTGACTGCTAATTCAAAGCACACAGGGAAGCCTCATATTGCCAAAAATCTTTGAGAACAGAGCGTTTTGAACATCTCAAGTGTATAATGATTTATTTGAGGGCAGAATTTGGAAGACTACTAATCTGTTACATCCTCACCACCAACCCATACCATCAGTGATCCATATCTGTGCTAGGGATGTAAAATGATGTTTCAGTAGTAATCTAGTATCAGAGGGGTAGCTGTGTTAGTCTGAATCTGCAAAAATGACAAGGAGTCCTGTGGCACCTTAAAGGCTAACAGATTTATTAAAGCATAAACCTTTGTGGGCAAAGACCCAATTCATCAGATGCATCACTAGTAGTAATCTAGTTAACCAATTAAATGTTGCAGATCAGGGCTGCTACGGCCAGGCCGGAGTGCTCATGCCTGCAGCACGCTCAGGTCAGGCCTATAGCAGATAAGGGCTGCTCCAGCCCACACTAAGTAACCATCAATGGCGAGCTTCACCTGTTAAGGGTGAGATTTACCAATTAACCTTTCACATCTCTAGTCTGTGCCACTGATCTCTTTGGTGCAGCCATTCCCAATATGGGCTCACAAATCATGCCTCCTGCACACAGTTATTTTATTTCCCAAGGACAAGCCTCAGGGAAGTAAGCAAGAACCACTCTATGAGAGATGTCAAATGTCTCCTCTCATCTATCGGTGCTCCTCTATAGGTGCAGCAGGACCTCCTGTGCTTGGTGCTCTCCTAGGTACCTCCTGTGCCTGGGATCAGAGATCATCAGCGACGCCGTTGAACCACACATGTACACCTCCCCATCTTGTGCTGTGAGTGGAACACTTATATTTCAGTGTGATCCAACCATCCCCAAATTGTCTCTCTGCCACAAAGCTCATCTTTCAGCTCTGAAGCACAGGGGGAGGAGGGCGGCTGTGGAGCATACAAAAGCAGAGCCGGTCCAAGGTACGGGCCCGGGGGGCCCCACGTGGGGCTGCCAGGACAGGCAGGGGCAGCACTGTGCATGCGCTGCACGCCCGGGGGCAAGGCCACACTCCCAGGGCCCGGGACGCACGAATGGCTCACGTCAGCCCTCTCCAAAAGGACACACATCTTGAAGAACCTCAGTTACTGCACAAGGCTGAGTCACCTTTTCTTCTTCAAGTGATGTTCCTAGGGGTAGCTCCATTGTAGGGCATTATCAAGCAGTCAGTGCCCACAGTTGGAAAGCTGGGGCTTCAGAGTGGCAAGTACTGTGGCTCACAGGACAGTGTGTCAAATAGATCATCTGAGGTGGCATCCTGAGGAATGGTGTAGTGACAGCTACAAAGTGTCCTCTGATGCCCATGTGGCTGCTTTGCAAATGTCAGCAATCAGGACATTAAGGCAGGCAACTGAGTGGAGAGCAAGAGCGTGGAATGTGCTCTAATTCCAGAGAGAGGTTGTTGATTGTAAAGTTGGATGGACAGATGAATACACCGTGAGATCCACTTGGAAAAGCATTGCTTAGAAATGACTATGCCTGTTGGTCTCTTGGCTACTGGAAGGAGTAAGTATGGCAATTTCCTGAAAAGTTTAGTTCTGTACAAGCAGAAAGCTAATTCTCCTCTAATATCCATGGTGTACAACATTGCTTCCTGGTGGTTGTTGTGTGGACGGATGTTAAAAAAGGGGTACAGGCAGTCCCCAGGTTACGTACAAGATAAGAACAAACCTACAGTCCCTAAGTTGAATCTGTATGTAAGTCGGAACTGGCGTCCAGATTCAGCTGCTGCTGAAACTGGTACAAGCAGAAAGCTAATTCTCCTCTAATATCCATGGTGTACAACATTGCTTCCTGGTGGTTGTTGTGTGGACGGATGTTAAAAAAGGGGTACAGGCAGTCCCCAGGTTACGTACAAGATAAGAACAAACCTACAGTCCCTAAGTTGAATCTGTATGTAAGTCGGAACTGGCGTCCAGATTCAGCTGCTGCTGAAACTGACCGCCAG